GCCACAGGTGGATGATGAATGCCCCCCCCAGAGGAAATAAAAGAGAGAGCAAAAGGGGAGTGGAGTTTGCAGGAGACAATTAGTTCGCTTAATTGTTTTGTGACTCTCCCAAGATTCCTTGCCAAGTTTTGCAGATATCGACCTGGCAGCTCCCCAAGCCAGATAAGGTTTGTGACCATAAATCCTCCCTTGAAAGACTTTGCTGGATGTGAATGAGCCAAATTCACAGTGAATTAACAAAAGGGGTTTTGTCGGGACCAGGAGTTTGCTTCATGCTCTTGGGAAGCCTCGGTCAGAGCAACTAGGTTCAGGTCCTCCTGTAGCCATGACAAGTCACTATGTGGCCTTGGGCCACTCACACTCTCTCAGCCCAACTTATTTCAGAGGATTGTTGTGGAGATAAAAGGAATGGGGAACCCATGTGAATTCCCTTAAGCTCTTGAGAGAAAAAAGTGATATAAATCTAACAAATAAAACTGAGTTGGAAAGTTCTTTAGTCTGGTGCCGGAGAGAAGGATAGTCCTATTTTTATGGATTGTTGTGAGCTGCTTAGAATCATTATATGATGTGTGACCACATGCATCCTGTAAATAAGCAAAACACATGGCATACATGTAAATGGGCATGCATGCTACTGGACAGATTTGGCAATAGGCTCATCTGTCTCCGCAAGAAAAGAAAAGAAAATGCCAGAATAGTATGTTACACACTCTACTCACAATCTGGATCCATTTGGTGAAAGCAGGAAGCCGTCGTACACCAGGCAGACGCCAAATACGGTGATCCCTGTTTCCTTTACCAGCATTGCACAAGTCCCAAGAAATAAACTAAGCAGCAAAAAGGACGGGGAGGCAGTGGGAGGGAAATGTTCCCCAACATAAAGCTGATCCAAACTCCTGCAAGGCAGAAGGAAAAGCCAACTGTGAAATGAAAACTTTACTATAGCTCTAGCAATATCGTGTTTTCCCGAAAATAAGACAGGGTTTTATTTTCTTTTGACACCCGAAATAAGCGCTTGGCCTTATTTTCAGGGAGGTCTTATTATTTTTGAGGTGCAGGAGGCGGTGAGTGTGGTCATCTCATAGTTGCTGGTGTGTTACAATATTTTCGTGGAGGGCTTATTTTCGTGGAGGGCTTATTTTCAGGGGAGGGCTTATTTTTGGGGGAAACAGGGTAGCACTTATGTTTATATG